GGCACTGAAGATAACAGATTTTAACTTACAGACACAAATGGCAAAGTAAACTACACATTTTATCAATTATTAAGACTTTTAAGTAGCAGGAACAACAAGAACTCCCAAAGGCGCTGCAGACAACATAAACATGCAAGTCATCTAGTAATCGTGATCCAGACTACAAAACACACAAAGAAAACTTTTGTATATGGAACATGATTTCAGAATCTCATGAGACCAGAAAGCTCTCAGTGTTTCAAAAAGAGATTAAATGTTAACGCCATTGGTCTTTTTTGTTTGAAATTCACTCTTTCTATGAAATTCAACCCTGCACAAAGAGCCAGAATCGGGATTAAGGATCTCATAAACCCCATTTAATTCCTTAAAAAGGCTTCTGTGCAGAAATGAATTCCAGTCTCTGAGAAAAGTTGTATTATTATCAAAAGTATGCAAAAAAAAAAAAAAAAGGCATTTAGAATTAGTTTGAAAACCCTATGCTCTAGAAAACTTTTTAAATTTTGGGGAAAACATTTCTTCTAAATGGAGATATATGTTCTTTAAAATATGCATTGAAATGGAATCTTAAAATATTTTCTCCTACAAAATTGTAACTATTAAGGTCAATTTCTCTGTTGCTACTGGCTACAGAGTGAGAGCAAAAAATGACAAGAATCAGGTCAAAGTCAGCCAGCAGCTACCAGGGCTTCTGGGTAGGCTTATCATTTGCAGGGATTCTCCCTAAAATTAGGGAAATGGCCTTCACTGACAAGGACTAGGAGACAGAGAAATGCAAGATAACGAGTCTCCTGTAATATTCTCTTCATGTACCCTGTAGGAGGTTGAGTTCAACAAAGACAGAGAGACAGAATGAGAGAAAGAACAAAAGAATTAAAGAAAGGAAGATGACCCTGTATTCAATTTCTACACTCCAGGCATAGTCTTACTTGGGGGCATCCCTATGAGTCCTAGAAGCTCTTCCTGGTGATAAAACAGTTATTGTCTGGTTAATTTACGTCTCTATATAATGCATGACATAAATGGACTGAGCAGGGTGTTTGGTGAAGGGACAGGGAGTCCCTACTGATGTAAGCTGGTGAACAGTAAAAAGAACAGTCCCTTCTAAGGAACTGCAGTGCTGAAATTCTTTGTGCCGGCTGAAAATTTATTTCAAAAGCATTAGAGCTCATTGTCGTGGGTTCCCTTGGCTAAACCTTTTGTTGTCGAACTCAGAGGTGGCTTGCCATTCCTGC